CCATGTGTCTGATCTAAAGAACCAAGAAGGCCAGGCTCCAAAACAGGCCCAACATTACCAGTGGCCCAACAGCAATTGTATAGTGAGGCAGCCCATTACTTATTTAACAGATTGCAATTTGCACGGAATGTGGTTGGCCCAAATGAGATTGAGGCAGCACAACAAACCAATGGATACAATTCAACTGTAGCAAATTCAGTCCCTGCTGCCAGACTCGCGAGTATAGAAGCTCGAAGTTGCTTAAATGGTCACCGTTTTCTAAATTTTCTCCTCGCCTGCATGATATTTGCTTTCGTCGTATCTTGGTTTTTTCACTTTCACATCCCATCATAAACATTATTCTGAAAGAGTTCTTTCAGAAGATAGTGGAAAAACTGGTAAAAGATAGTGATAAGTTGATAGATATTGATGGTCATAGTGTCCGTATCTGTATTTTCGGTTTGTGCATTTGTTACAATTTGGTCATTTTGTCTATGTCGTTGGGTGAGCTTCTGATTATGAAACCCAAGTTATAGGCATAATTAGAAAATCTACTCACTTGTATGAACTTTTATCAACAAATCTTATAATATAAAATCTTAAAATTTGAAGAAGGAAAGAGAAAGAATGACCGCCATTTGGTTTGCTTTGAAAAAGAATAGAAATAATGTAGCAACGATTAAATAAATGAGTGAATTGTTAGATAGCAACCTTCCATTTCAGTTTTTGATTCTCACAAGGATGCCAACGTGCAGATTAACAGAACTAATGACGACACTTGGCGCCCCTGTTTGTCCAGGGTCCATGTGGCCTTGGACGAGTCTTATTATCTTTATGAAGTCTTTAGTTGTACGATCAATATTGACCTAGTCCTCATCATTTCTTTCTTGGTATCACAGCCTGATTTGGCTTACGTTTGATCCTACCCACATTAATGTCTTCCGTTGCCAACTTCATTCCACCAAACAATCTTGTTCGGTTTGTCTAGGTGAGATTTGAAGGACCATCATCTTATTAAACAATGTATATATCCATGGCCTTCTGGGTTTTGTGGATGGTACAGAACCATGCCTGGAAGAGTTCCTACCTGCTGCAGGGACTGCTTCTCCTGCTTCTAATCCGGAGTTTACCATATAGAATCAGAAAAATCGATTCGTTCTGATGTGGATGAAGTCCGTAAACCCAAAGGCGGTCTCGTCCTTGGTTTATGGTCTCAAAATCAGTTCGGCAAACATGGCTGCCATGTGGCTCTTTTCCCTCGTCCTTGAATGTGAATCAAATCAAATGTCAACTGCATAATCTACACCAAGGAGGCAAGAGTTGTTCTGAATTTGTTGAAGGTGCAAAGGTCCATGCAGACCAATTAGCTGCTGTGGGAAAACCGGTGACTTATGAGGATTTGATCTCTCATATTGTGGAAGGACTTAACTCATCATATACTCCTTTAGTAAACTGTTGTTCTGTTTTTATGATCCTAGTCAAGTTTCCTGCATTGTCTCCAAATGCCATCATATTTACTTAAAAAAATAAAAATGAAAGCCAAAACATGAGATAATCTAGATAATTATATTTGCTGTTTCCACTGAAAAGAAAAAAAGAAGAGAAAATGCATCCAAGAAAAAAGCTTTATCAAGTTGCAGATACAATATATATCATTACGAGCATACATCAGGTAGATACTGCCAAGGCTTTGACAGTTATGTCGACAATAGCATCTAAACCTCATCTTAACTATCAAGTGGATGAAATTCTCCATTGACGTCGGCTTCCTCATAATTTGACTTGGGATTCCGAAAACATATTAACACCAAAATGTACAACAAAAAATTTGCAGCACCTAATGCAGCTAGAGTCCAGTAGTAATTGTCCAAACGACTCCTGTTTAAAGTGTCCTGAAACCAATTTGGTTTTCCTCCTCTCTCACTGAGCTTTCCTGCTAAGTAAACTGATAGAACACCACCCATAATTCCTAGACCGAATATTCCATCTGTGAAATAATTGAGATACTTTCTGCTTGATGGAGGAATTTTATCAGAAAAGAGACGCTTGACACTTCGTTCAAAAAATGATTCTAGTCCAGCAAGGAGAAAAAACTGTGGAGCCAGCCAAAGCACACTCATTGGTATCCTTTCTTCAGGTTTGTCCAGTAAACCATGGCTTATAACAATGTGCAACCTTCGAGCTTCGACTAAGGCAGCAGTTATACAACATAGTACTGAGCATATCATAGCCATACCAATGCCTTCTTGGGGTGTAAAATATTTGTTTGTTTTTTCAAGTAGTGGTTTCACAATATTATGTAGCATTGGAAGGAAAAGAAAAGGTAGTTTAAAAAATGCTAACTTGGGATTCAAGTTGTTTGCTTGTATGAGGAAGTAGCTGTATCCGATGGAAGTCACCAGGCCACATATTATGAAGGTCATCCACATAGGGAACATCCGAATGGCAATTTTTGTTTCTTCGACTTGTGTAACCGTACAAAGACTCCATTTATTATTCTCTTGTTCTATTCTACTTTTATTTGGCAATAGGATAGCTGCCTTGTCTAAGAATCTGTTATTTGAGCAATGTATATATGTAACGACAGTAAGAAAGAAAAAATACATAACTAGCCTTCTTAATTTCTTGATATGATTCGGGGATCGTTTGACAGGACTTCTTTTTTTACTTCTTGTAGAAGAGCTTCTTGAGAAAGCTATCTTAAACCAGTTTTCTCTAAAATTTCTTCTATCTAGACAAAGCACTTCTAAAAAATTATCCAAACATGTTCAAAAGAAGCTTTTGACTTTTGAAAAGTCCCGTCAAATAGATCCTAGAACAAGCTTGAAGTGAAGAAAAGAGATTCTTAAAACCTGAGTCCGGGAGTATGTGGCAATAACTGAACATCCGGCTCATCATTTTTCTCATAAAGAAGAGATGTATCGTTTGGAAGTTTTTGTGATATCTTCAAAGCAGAGGCCACGAATACTCTAATCATATTGGTTAGTGGACTTGCCTTCTGCATATTTTCCTCGGGTAAAGTTGATGCAATCAAGGGGTAACAAGGTCCTAAGGATAAACAAGTACCTATAGCAGATAGAAGTGCTATAATTCCAAATCTAAGTGCCCATGGTTTAATAAAAGACAATGTTGAAGCTCCACCAATATGGGCAAATTGTTTTGATAAAGACTTCTTGAGGCGCTTTTGTAAGTCGCTTCTAAATTCCAAAGGGAACCTCGAAAGTAAGTACTCATACTGCAATCCAGCAATGAAAATATTTCCCGATGACCCCACCGTAAACAGTACCAAGGATGTGAAGAACAAAATCCTTTGTGTTAGACCAAAGCATTCTGGTCGGTAACCACCGCATGTACCAGTGAGTGTAGAGAGGATTGGCGGAGCTGACATAGAGAGGAATACCATACTCTGCACATAATACAAGTTTTCTAAATTTTGCGAACTCAAGATTATTCCAACATAGAACTGTTATACAGAATTGTTATTTAGGGGTTTTTTTGACAAAGATTTAGGACATTTTGATAAAAGTTGACGTAGTGCGTGGTCGAGAAGTTAATAAAAGTTGTGAGTTCCGTGAAATGTGTGATTGAAAGATACAAGCTATATTCGTTTACTTACAGCGGTATAGAAAATACTGGTGATCTTTGTGATTTGGCGTAGACTCAGAACAGCATCGGAAAGGTAGAAAAAGAATAACGGCAACATCCATAACATGCCCTCACAGATAATCACTATTCCAGAAACATGGATAAAATTCAGTTGCCAAACATTTATAAGGTAGGCGTTTATCATTGGCATTAGATACGATCCCAGTATATGAGCCATTGAATGACCTATATGCATAAGACAAGAAGAAAAGGAAAACATTGTTAGTATACCATTTTTAGGGAAAAAAAAAATTAAGGTAAAAATGGTGGTCGAATAATGTTTCTACCATAATCTTGCAATTGTTGGTCATCCTCATCGTAATATTGTGAAGGCATGGCAGCGTGGTTTCCTCTATTCTTGTTACTAGTACTATTAATTAGCCGAGCATGTGGACGAGCTTGATTTATAGGATGCCGGCTGAAGACTTATAGCAACATAGTCTAGTGTGAAATTGGGAAAGTAGACACGTTAATTAAATAAATAATAAATTAGCGCTTATCTAGTCCAGCTTTTCCTTCCAAAAGTCGATTCTTGTAAGAAATCTGTGAGTAGGCCCTTTACGATTAATTATATTTTGTCAAAAGCAAATTATGAAAATGAATAAATCAAAAGTCATATCAAATCATGTTGTTTTGTGCAACGACCATTTTGTCCTTGTTCAAAGATCAAGTTGAAAAAAAAAAAAATTTCAACGACACGTTCACAAGCACTATTGTGTAATGAGGTAAAAATGTCTTTAAGCACGTCGAGGGAAGGGTACAATTGGTGCAATGGTCTCATTTATTGGTCTGAAATTTTAATACAAATTTCCCGTTTCAAACCATCACAATCTACAAAGAATCTGATTATTATGAAAACCAAACAGGGACTTAATGACTCCTCGCAACGCGGTATGAAGCACTTTCCATGAACCTAGCCTATTATAATTTGTTGGTTTCTGCAATTGTTATTGTCTAAAAACGTCAAAAGTGTGCAAATATGAAGCACTTTGTACCAACCTTACCTATTATAATATGTTGGCTACAATTAGTTAAACAAACACTGGATCGACCTTCTGGTTTATTAAAAGGCAAATGGTCAAGTGAGTACATGGCCTTTTTTTATTTCCTTCTCTCTCTCTTTCTTTTAGTCATGGTTTATAGAGAGTTTGAACCACTTTACTACTTCACATTACCCAAGGTTTAAGTTATGTCCTCCAAAATTAATTTTTCCCCAAACTCAGTTTCAAACACATATTCTTCAATTTAGTAATTTTGTATGTAAACTTTAAAACTTTTTCGTACTTTTTAATCACACATTCTCCAAAAATCACTTTTTGCAAAATATATTCTCAAAGAATGGGTTTTAACAGGGTCTTAACAACGTTACAAATTCGACAATCTTACACATTCTTTTTCTAGTTTAGCATATGTGGCTAGAGAATGGAAATTATTTACGTCCACCAATGTTTATCACATTTGTGTCAAAGGACATGGTGTTTATCGCTCATTATCACTTTGTGTCAAAGGACAAAATGGTTACAAATTATAGATTTTCATTGTATTATTATTATTATGTGAAATTAAATCAAGTAAATTCAAAATAAAATTAGGATAGCCATTTAAAACT